CCGCACAAAACACACACAATACACAAACCATACGTACATTACATGAATCTGACATCTGCGACATGTGTCTTATTACTGATGCAAGCTAGTGGTGGAAATCATGGATTCTGTTCTACTTTTTCCCAGAGTCTGAGGAGCACAAGGACTGGCCCCCTTCTTGGACTCAGAGGAGCACAGGGGCACAGGGACTAGCCTGGGACTCAGAGGAGCACAGGGACTGGCCTCCTGCTGGGACTCAGAGGAGCACAGGGACTGGCCTCCTGCTGGGACTCAGAGGAGCTCAGGGGCACAGGGACTGGCCTCCTGCTGGGACTCAGAGGAGCACAGGGACTGGCCTCCTGCTGGGACTCAGAGGAGCACAGGGACTGGCCTCCTGCTGGGACTCTGAGGACCACAGGGATTGGCCTCCTGCTGGGACTCTGAGGGGCACAGGGACTAGCCTGCTGGGACTCTGAGGAGCACAGGGACCGATCCAAAGTCACAACTAAACAGGGAGAATCAGCATTTCAGATTGATGAAGGAAAAATCTGCAATATCTAGAACATTTTAGTCTGACAATGTTGTGTTGTATGGTACCGTTGTGTTTATTTATTGTATTGTAAAGTAACTGGTGATGGGAATTTGATAACTGCACAAATTGTCCTATACAAATACATTTGATTCATTCTGACCCAAAAAAGCTAAAAATGTGCAGCGGAAAAAAAGTGATAGAATCAAACTTTGTGTTTCTAAAGTGAGATCGTTTTACAACTAGTTGAATTTTCTATTGTTGATGTGGCATGAGCTTTTGATGAGAACTTCTGTTATTTTGTGAAATGCATGTAAAGCACATGTTCATGTTTTTAATTCTTGTCAATTCAATTCAATTTATTTTTGAATCGGCCTAATTCACAACAGCAGTTGTCTCAGAGGACTTTAAAAAGCTCTCAATTCATCAACAACAGTTCAGAGAATATAATTGTTTGAAATCCAATAATAACAATCACAGAGTAACCATTGGTCCAAAGGAGAGATGGTGCTATAAATGTATAAATGTGCCAAAACGTCCCCGATCATTACTGTCATAAAACACTCGAAAGGCCCAGAGAGGTGGATCCGCTTCCACGGCAGGCTATAAATCCAGGACTTAGGCTATAGATCCATGAATAGACTATACAGAGGCTGAAGTCTGTTTTTTTGTTCGTTTATACTTTTATGTAGATATTTTTGGTCCTGTTTGGTTAGAAGACAGTACGATCGTGAAGGAAAGCAGGTGTAAGGAGCAGTGTTAGGATTGAAGCGAGGGAGGAGGATGTGCTGACCTGTAGACAATGGCGCTGAGCCCAAGTCCTGCCCTGACCCTGACCCCGCCCATTCTCATATCGGATCAACATTTAAAGGAGACGTACTGTGTGCAGCATTTAACCAAGTGACAACATTGTTCATTCAGCAACAAACAGACCTGGTGTTGATTTAAGATGTTTGCTAAGGATCTTTTGGCACAAACATGTACCTCTGCCTCTGCTGTCTAAAAGCTCCGGCCTCAAACCTGTAATAGTGCGATGTCAGTAATGTGTTTGACCTGAAGTCTGGATCGCCGGGATCGTCTGGATTACCGGGATCGTAGACGGCTGAAGGCGTGGGTGGAGGTAAACGCCTGGACGCACGTGGAACCAACAGCTGCTTGAGATCATGAGTGAGAGTCAAAACGGAATAAAACGGTGTCTAGCTCCAACGCTTATCAAACACGTCGACATCGGGAAACATGACTGTGAAATGAACACATGGTTTGATTTTAAGAATGACCTTTTAATAAGATAACAATCGTTGACTAGATATGCAATCCACCTGCTGGGGTTTAGCTATATACAGCACCAACTCTGTGTCTTACATATAAATACTTATTTAGTACCAGCTTCCATTGAAACACATGTTTAGTGCTATTATTTGTTTGATTTTCATTATTTAAAAACAGTAATGCTAAAATTTCAAACATCTTCTGCCATCTGCCTGTCCATTTGGATGAATAATATAGAATAAAACCCCTTTAAAAGTTGAAGAGAGACTAGTGCTAGAGTGGGTCAATCTCAGGTGCTCATCAGGATCAGCAGTGAAAAAAACACTAGAAACAATTGAATCCCTGTCCATTAAAGGTGATATTCTCGTTTCTGCAAGGTTCGATTGTTTAGCACCGCCCCTCAACTCGCTCCCGGGTCTCTCATTTCTCCTACGCTCTCATTCCACGGAGCCATCTAGTTTTATTTGTGATCTGATACGTAAGAAAACATTAGCATTAGCGGAACTTCTTGTAAACTGTACAACAATCACTGATGAAATGGTACAAAAGCAACGCGCAGCTAGCAAAATATATACAGTATGATTTGTACATGTTGACTTGTAATCTGGGGACAGTATATAATATTTGGATGTAACGTAACTTCATACACATGGCCCCTTTAGTGTATCAGTCAAATCAATCAATCAATATTACAAATACATGACTTGAGAAATTATTCTGAAATTATATGAGTGAATTAATGCACACTTGTGAGAAGGAGTTTATTTGGGTGGAAGATGGTGTTGTATAGTATGTTTACATGTGTTTTTTCCCTCTCCACACACACTTTCTGCTGCTCATCTGGAGGAATACTGAGGCGTTCCCAACAGAAAGATATAGTCTCTTCAAACGTGACTTAAGATAAAGTAAGATGGACTTTATTGAGCTCACAATGGAGAAATGTACATGTCACATTTGGCATAAATATTATCACTCAGGTTTTGCAAAACACAGGAAATGCATGAGAATTAGTACAGTATAGGGTCTTCCCATAGAAATTCGTCTGGTGGGGTAAACTATTTATGACATTGTAGAAAAATTGTCATCAGAGGCAGCGGTCGCACTTTTATTCTCGAGTCCTTCCAGATCGAACAAAGGAAGTCACAGCCTTTTATATGAAGTGTAGCAAAGTGCATCAGAAATATGTCGGAACAAAGACGCCAGACCATCCTTGAGTTAGTTTACAGAGTACAGACAATCCAAAAAACTGCAATGTCTGTATGGCTTTAAATCCATTGAATCTTATTCCTAAAAACATATTTCCTGTCTGTCCTAGCTTAGTCTAAACATGCTAGTCTGATTCCACAACATGATAAATACTAAGGCTAACACAAATAAGATCCAAGTCGAGTTCAGTGGAAAAGGTTTACTTTAAGTTATCACAAGAAACATCAGAACAAATATCAAAACACACATTTTAAAAAGACAAAACATTGAAATAAGTGGCAAAAGTTCTTAGTGTCCAGGTCTGGGCTGCTTCACCTCCATCCGCTTGTTACTGTCCTTTTCTCCTGTTGTGCTCATTCAGGGGTTTTGCCCTTCAGCACTTGGTTTTCAGGCCCAGAGCCCCGTAATCAGAACCACGTCACAACTAATAATGCAACACACGTAAATAGCACTGTTTGGGACACGCCAAGATGCTTCACATGGCTCTAGTAGGCCGAAAACTGCTACAGTCGCCATCTGACCACCACCAATCAGTCTCACACACACACACACACACACACACACACGCAGATGCGCAGACACACACACGCAGATGCGCACACACACGCTGGGCAATGTTGGCGATGTGCCTTGCCTAAGGACACAACAGTTGGGAGTCCCAGAGGTCTCCCATCACATAAAACAGTGTTCTATGAGAGAAATTACTTGGACCCAAAAGCTCTTACATGTCATTTTGAAAGACGATTTTTGAAAATGCAACAGCTCAGATTTAGTGTAGAATTATATAACAATGTTATCCTACACAACTTTTAATATTCCATAATTACCTGATTTAAGTGAAAACCAGTTGTATCAACTTCTACAGAGAACTCGATCTAGATCAGTTACATGACACAAATACATGTTCTGTACATGTGTTACCTGTAGAAATATTGTGATTATGATTATTATCTGCTCAGCACTCACTATCAATATATTTTATTCAAACATGTTGATTTTGAATGCTGAGCAGAAAATCATAAATAGGGTGAAAATGTATTATTTTGATTTGTGAGCAGCAGCTATTTAAGTTTAACGTGTTACTAAAGGTAGGCGTCTATAAGCTTTAGCTTCTGCCTATTCCTTTTTCAGACCTTATTTTGAAGGTGCCTGAAGAGCCTGAAAGTACCATGGTTCAAGGACCATAGGTGTCCCTGTACCCTTGGTTGAGAAACTCTTCTGTTCAATATTGCCATGTACACAATAGTTCATGAATGGGATAACATTTTTGCATTCATGAACTTCTATTTCTCTGTAATTTAATGTTTGAATAGATTTGTCTATAGCATGGGTCTCCAAACTGTAGCTCGGGTGCCACCATTAGCTCGCCACCGCCTTCCAGGTAGCTCGCCAAAGGATTTAGAAATGAACAAAACAAATAATATCATAAATATAATAGATTGTATTATTCATTATCAGGTCTCCCCCTGACCTCCGTACCGTTGACTCTCTTCCACTCTTCAAATCCAGACTCAAAACCCATCTGTTCAGACTGTCCTACCCCACCTAACACATACACACCCACATCCCATAATGCACTGCTGTTTTATTCTGTTGCTCCTATTTTAATGTTTTTATTATGTCCTGTACAGTGTCCTTGGGTGTTTTGAAAGGCGCTTTTAAATAAAATGTATTATTATTATTATTATTATCATCATTATCTATTCTTGTAACTGCACTTACTTTGTCACTAGTAACAAATATGCAATGATAAATAATGACTGTACCCAATATCCGACTTGTTCACACCAATATATCACCAACATTGCCAACAGGGCCGCTTAAAGGAGTAGCTCTCTGCCTTTATCGTCTCAGGAAAGTAGCTCTCTGGGTGAAAAAGGTTGGAGACACCTGCTCTATAGTCTCCGGGTGCTTGTTAAATCCCACTGCCCTTGAACTGTGCATGCGGCAGAGGACCCCCACAGTGGGACAATTTAAAGTTCTTTCTGAAGTCCATGATTTGTGTGACATCACTTTATTATGCATAGTTGTCCGGCAGCTCGTGCAGAGGAATGACCGTGTACTCCTCCTCCATGCCGTTCTCCCGAGGGTGCTCCCTGTGAATAAACTCCTCCATCTCTATTGCCTTCTGCTGGTCAGCTGGTGTAAGTGTCTGGTTGAACTGGTGCGGACCATTCCACCTTTAAAGAAGATACAATACGATAAGATGAAGAGAAATTTTCTGACTTTTCACACAGGGTAAATGTCAGTTTGATTTTACATAATTCACCCATGACTTTAGTTACCCTCACGGACAGTTAATTTCATGTTTTGAGTGGTTTTGTAAAGAAAGCATTGAGTCTCACACTGGTTTCTCTGTATGTTTTATACTGATTTTAAATGGCATTAAAAGGACTCCAATTGTCACTGCTATTCGACCTCTGACTCTGCTCCTTACACAGCATGAATAGAAAAGGGTGTAGTTATGGTGTAAGTGAACAGGCCTGTCTAGTTTTAGGGTTGGATTAATAATACACTGTAGGAACAAAAGTTTCCATGAGTAATCTCAAAACCAAATAAGTTCACTAATTATCAAGCAGCACTAGTTCTTTTTCACAGTTTTAGACCCTGCACATACATAAGAATGGAGCACATATGACTTTACTGTATGCTTTTGCAGAATAACAACAGAATACATTGATGAAGTGTGGACAGGAGTGGTACCATATTGCACATGTGTAAATTTACTACAGCAATGCACATTATTGTATTATTTAAACTAGAAATATGAGGCTTTATTATTAGCACGATGATAGGACATTTTACTAATACGTCAACTGTTTAAACTAAGGAAGGATGTAAAGTAAAAATGGCTCTCTCTTGTGGTAGAAGTGGGAATGACATTTCTCATTTAAAACACAACTCAACATAGATGTAGTGGGCACACAATTGTAAAGGACCTAATTGACTGGAGTAATTCTCAAATCTGAATGTATTACTAATTTGGAAGCAACACTTTGGTCCATGATATAATAATGTAAGGAATTGTCACGTTTTATACAGGCACATTTGGAAACAGAGGGGTCATGTTTTTGTACCAGAAGTTCCTCATATTGGTGTGTTGCATTAGCATTAGCATCAGCATCTATAAAGGATTGGAATATGGAATTTTACTTTTCTCTTGTGGCAATAGCAGCGAGGATTATCACCAAGGCGGTCAGACCCATCAGGAAGCCCACGATGATGATCCAGTCTGAGAACAGAAACAATCCATAAGTAAAGAGCTGGTCTTTGGTAAGTTATTGAGAAGCTGAACTCATAACTATAAATTGCAAATTCCAGCAGTCGCTTTCTAATAATTATGCCTTGGTTTTATGTAGAGCTTTTCAGGACATTCAAATACACTTCACATACTCTTTCACTCCATACACGATGATGATGAACTACTCAGAAGCCACAGATGCCCTGGGGCACACTGCCAGAATCAGACCAGTATGTACACAACAGACTCATTCTAATTTGTAAAACACAACCACAGTTTGGCACTTTACACCCGCAGCTGCCCCACTGTGGCGCCTGGTGTTCCCAGAAGTCTCCCATCACAGCATTAACCAAGAGGGTCCTTACCTGGTGTGACGTGTCCCTTGTTTGTCAAATGTGGGTCTTCCTCCTGCAGCCACTGAGGTTCACGCTCTATAGAACAGAAGTATATTTGTAAAAGTTTGTGACAATATAGATATATTTGGTATAGTAAGAACTTTGGACTCACCTCGTTCAGCGACCTTTGCAAACTCTGGAATTTCTGCATGAAAAAGAAAGAGCAAACAGCATTAGCGTTTATCCTAAACAGACGACTGCATTATTACATCTCAGTATCTAAATCTATTTTTGTTGCACATTAGTTACTATGTAGATGGCATTTGATGTTCTTACTATGCCAAATATTTACCATCAAATCTATATTGTGTAATTTCCCCATTGTGGGACTAGAGGAATCAATCATTCAAATAAGTCAAATGAAAATTACACTACAATTGGATAAGGGATAGTGGTTAGGGTTATAATATAACACTTTCAGACTGTGTTATATTTTTGAGACACCAGATCTACACTGGCTTAAAGTACAGGCCAGTTTTACATCTTCTCTAAGTAAGTAAGTAAGTAATATTCATTTATATAGCACATTTTAGAGACCAAGCTCTCCGAAAGCACTTTACAATGTTCAGAGTTCAGACATTGAAGCAACAGGAGCAACAGAGCTGATTGACCATGAATTATAGTTAGCACTAAATTAGCTGTTTTAGTGAGGGCGAAACTAAAGTGGGTTTTCTAATCATCAATTAGTCTTTTGTTGCTGTAGGAGAGAGATTAGGGTGCATGGTGTGTTTGCGGTTGGAAAAGTCAAAGTCAGAGCTGAGTAGGCAGCCGAGTAAGCAGGAGGCTTGCTTCCTGCTTCTGGACAGAGCAGTCGCATTCTCTTGCTGCTCCTCGCTTGCTGCTTTTTTATCTCCTTTAATCATTTTTGCTTACATTTTTATTCCACAAAACACGGATTACTCCTTTTTACAAACTTCAACACAAGACTTGTGGAATTTACCTAACTTACAGCATGTCGGGAGGACGGGAAAGAACAAAACTTTGCAACGGCTGTTTTTCACTCAAACAGGAGCTAAAACTTCTTCAAGACCGAATGTTTGTACTTGAATCAGAATTGGGGCTGAACACAACAATACCAGTGAAAGGAAATGGACCACATGGACAGAACGTAAGTTATGATGACGCTATTTCATTTCCCAAAATCAACAGAGACAATTGTTGGAACACATATGGTGCCAAGCCCAAACAAGGCAAAGCTAATGATAACAAGAGTGTCATAATGCCACAGCAAAAATCTTTAATTACAAGAAACCGCTTTTCACCACTTTTGGAAGATGAATCAGCAGTAGTCTCTACAACAAAGCTGCTAAAAACTGCAGCGCCTCCACCAAGGACAAACTGTGTCCTTATCGGAGATGGCTCGGTGAAAAATGTAAACATGGAGTCCATGCTCACTGTCTCAGTTCACTCTGCTAAAGTTGCTGAGATAAGAACTCTCCTGCCTAAAGTGTTATCTGAGAACAGTGGTGTGCGTACATTATTGATCCACACGGGGGCGGTAGATATCTATGAGAAGGCAAGCGAGAAGTTACGAATGGATTTAACGCTGTTACTGGATGACCTCAAGAAAATGGACATAACAATTTTTCTTAGTGGCCCACTGCCAAATATAGATGGAAAAATGGAGAAGTTTAGCCGTCTGTATCAGCTAAACACATTCCTACTCAATGAGTGTTCACGCAGAGGACTTGGCTTCATTGAAAACTTTAATCTGTTCTGGAATAGGCACGAGCTTTTTGAAGAAAAAGGCCCACATCTGAACAACTACGGAGTAAAAGTGCTGATGGATAACTTTGCATCTGCCCTAAGACCTCAGCCTGCGCAGCGCGTGCAGCCGTTGAAAGGGAGAAAGAAGAAGCAAAGGGCACAGACATCACGACCATCTCCACCGACTCCCGAGGTCTCTGCACCCCCACCGCCTCAAAAGAACTCCACACCTCCACGATTCAAGAAGAACTCAACACCTCCAAGGTTCCAAAAGAACTCAACACCTCCACGGCTTCGAAAGAGCTCAACGCCTCCACCCCCAGCATCATCAGCAGCTGCCACATCTTCATCAGCGCCATCAGCATATACAGCACCACCAGCAGCAGTGGATACAGCCGCAGCAGTGGCTGCTCCATCATCTTCAGCAGCAGCAGTGGCTGCTCCATCATCTTCAGCAGCAGCAGTGGATACAGCAGCAGCAGTGGCTGCTCCATCATCTTCAGCAGCAGCAGTGGATACAGCCGCAGCAGTGGCTGCTCCATCATCTTCAGCAGCAGCAGTGGCTGCTCCATCATCTTCACCAGCAGCAGTGGATACAGCAGCAGCAGTGGCTGCTGCATCATCTTCAGCAGCAGCAGTGGCTGCTCCGTCATCTTCAGCAGCACCTTCCCCACCTACAGCTCCCGTGAAGCTTCCCCCATTACTCCAGGCTACAGTCAGGCCTGTACTGGGGGTTCCTCAACCACCTCTGTCTCCACCAAAGACTCCCTCATCACCTTCCATGGACCCGGCTTGGGTCCCCCCCGCTACATCCACTCCATCTAGGGAAAATGAGGACGACCTTTCCCTTTGTTTTCTATCCCCGCCTTCACTACTGGATTTACCGGAACACTCTGCAGGCATGATAAGATCGGCGATGAAGACTATTCCTCTCACACCCACTGTAGCCAGATCAAGAGTCCTATCTAACATTCAAAACTACTCCCCATACGTACCTCCAAAGCCACCTAGGGCGTCCAACTCAAATTCCCCCACAAAATCCACCCGTCCCTCCTCTAACCCCATAAGTATTCCACCCCCCCCTCCTGCTCATTTAGCCCACCTCCCCCCCCCTAACTCAGCACCAAGAAACCCTCCACCTCCACTCCCCCCTCGTCCACCACCCAACTCAGCCTGCCCCTCCCCTAACCCATCACCAAAAACCCATCCACCTCCCTGCCCCCCTCGTTCAACACCCAAAAGCCACCCACCTCTCCATCCTCCTCCCCCGCCTTCCCCTACCCCTCTTTTCTCTAAACACTAGGATGCACAGGGTCTCTGCTTCGCAGCCACTGGCAGTCTAGTTAGAGGAGAGACCCGGCTGGGGCCCTGTCATGAAGCCACCTGTGCCATTCCCTTAGTGATAACACAAAGAATACATTACAGAAAAACATCTGGAGTTAATCAGTCTAATCTGGAAAATCTAATTCTTGTTCCGTGTAAGAATCAGCCGACCGCAACCGCTGATACTGAAACTTTGAAACTTGCTACGCTTAATGTCAGATCTCTTTGTAACAAGTCTTTTTTAATCAATAATTTTATTTCTTCTCATAATCTTGATCTTATGTTCATGGCTGAAACTTGGCTTGACCAAAATTCAGAAAATGCAGTTTTAATAGAAGCATCACCACCAAATTTCAAGTTTGAATCTGAAATACGGGAAAACAAAAAAGGAGGAGGCTTAGCTGCCATTTTTAGAGACCACTTTGTCTCCCATAGAATGTCTCTTGGGAAGTTTTCGTCATTTGAATATGTGTCTTTTAAAATACAACAAAAACAATCTCCTCCAATACTCTTCGTTGTCCTATACAAGCCACCGCAGTCATGTCACAGTTTTATTGATCATTTTACCGAGTTGCTTTCAGTTGTATGCACAGATTTTGATAGTTTGGTTATTACAGGTGATTTTAATATTCATGTGGATAATGTTGATGACAGAAATGCAAATGAGCTGAGTTCTGTACTTGAATCCTTTGATCTCACTCAGCACGTAAGTGGCCCCACCCACAGCAGAGGGCACACTCTAGATCTGTTAGTTACAAAGGGGGTGATTATTTCAAATGTAAACGTGGTCGATGTTGCTCTTTCGGATCATTTCTGTGTTTTTTTTGACATGTGTTTCACTAACCAACCACCAGTGGACTCTGCAACTGTTCGAAGAAGGCGTATAAATGAAAATACGAGTGAACTATTTATGGAAATGATAAACTTCGAGAATGCATCGTATTCTACTGTAGATGAACTGTTTAACTCTGTCACCTCTAGTGTTTTGAATGTTCTGGATACCGTTGCCCCTGTGAAGGTTAAAATAGTGAAAAATAAGCAGAAGGCGCCGTGGGCTAAAGCAGACTCGGTCAGGGCACAAAAGAGAAAGTGCCGGAGGGCCGAGCGGAAGTGGCGCAAGTCCAACCTCCAGGTAGATTACGAGATCTTCAAAGATAAGTTGTGCGAGTTTAACCGGGTGCTACGTAGTACGAGAGAAAGGTATTTTTCTGAAATGATTAAAGGCTGCAGCAACAATCTGCGTGTTCTGTTCTCAACAGTTAATAGATTAACAAACCCCCCTGTTCAAATGCCATTAGAGCTTACTTCCAAACGTAAATGCAATGAGTTTGCTAATTTTTTCAATGACAAGGTTCAAGGCATCAAAAGCGCCATTGTCTCCAATCCACAGATAACCATCCAACAGCCAGAAAGGCTCTCTGAGCTAACTCACTTTGCACCTGTAAATGATAAAACTGTCCAAGAGATAATCTCCAGTCTGAGCTCCTCCACATGCAGCCTGGATGTACTACCCACTAGATTTCTGAAGTCTGTTCTGAGCAGTCTGTTACCTTCACTCACACAGATAGTAAACATGTCCCTTCATTCTGGAATATTCCCAAAGGCCCTGAAAACTGCAGTCATCAGGCCCCTGCTAAAAAAGAGCAGTCTGGATGCCACTGTACTTAACAACTATCGTCCCATCTCAAATCTGCCATTTATGGGGAAAGTCCTTGAGAAAGTTGTCTACCTACAGCTTACTAGATTTCTTATAATCAACAACTCATTTGATATGTTTCAGTCCGGCTTTAGACCCCACCACAGCACTGAGACTGCTCTCGTTAAGGTTACAAACAATATTCGGCTGAACACTGACGCAGGCAAAGTCTCAATCTTAATCTTGTTAGATCTAAGTGCTGCCTTTGACACCGTCGACCATGAGATCCTCTTACAGAGACTAGAGGACTGGGTTGGCGTCACTGGCACCGCCCTAAGTTGGTTTAGGTCTTACCTTGAAGACAGGAAGTACTTTGTGGAGATTGGAAACTGTGTCTCAGATCATATGGCCCTGACCTGTGGAGTCCCACAGGGGTCGATCCTGGGACCTCTTCTGTTCAATCTCTACATGCTGCCGTTAGGTCAGTTAATACGCAGAAACAAAGTTTCCTATCATAACTATGCAGACGACACTCAGATCTATGTCTCACTGACTGCAGGAGAACATGGACCAGTGGACTCACTCCTTCACTGTATCCAACAGATCAGTGAGTGGATGCAAAACAACTTCCTTCAGCTAAACGCAGACAAAACTGAAATGATTGTCTTTGGTCCCCAGAAACAAAGAGAGAGCGTCATCTGTCATCTACAGTCTCTCTCCCTAAAACCTTCAAACAAGGTCAGAAATCTAGGGGTAATACTGGACTCAGACTTAAATTTTAATAGCCACATCAAATCAGTAACATCAGCAGCTTTTTACCATCTAAAAAACATTGCCAGGATCAAAAACATAGTGTCTAAAGCAGACTTGGAGATTCTTATCCATGCATTTGTCTCCAGTAGGTTAGACTACTGCAATGGCCTGCTCACAGGTCTGTCCAAACAGGCTGTAAAACAGCTGCAGTACATTCAAAATGCAGCAGCTCGAGTCCTGACAAGAACCAGGAAGTACGACCACATTAGTCCAGTCCTCAGGTCTCTGCACTGGCTTCCTGTGGCTCAGAGAATAGACTTTAAAACAGCTCTGCTTGTGTACAAGTCTCTCCATAGCCTCGCACCAAAATATATTAGTGACATGTTAGTCCCATATGAACCAGCCCGGACTCTGAGGAGCACAGGGACTGGACTCCTGTTAGTGCCCAGAGTCAGAACTAAACATGGGGAGGCTGCTTTTCAGATTAATGCTGCTAAAATCTGGAACAGTCTTCCTGAAGATGTGAGACAGGCCTCCTCTCTGACAATGTTTAAAACCAGGTTAAAGACGGTTCTGTTTAACTGTGCATACAACTGAGGGATTTTATATTTTTATCTTTCTTTTTAATGTTCTGTGATAATTTATGATTTTAATGCTTTCTTGTTTTGTTCAGCACTTTGAATTGCCTTGTGTATGAATTGTGCTATATAAATAAACTTGCCTTGCCTTGCCTTGCCTTAGGCAGCCGTAAATTTCTGTCTTTTACGTTTTGTTTGCTCACATCAGGTCATATGTTACAGTTCATCAGTTTATCATTCATCCATATTTTGTTTGCTGCACTATTTACGTCAATATATCACTTTAAAACGCAATACTGGATCAAGACTGTTTTAGCATAGACTTCTACACATTTATAGAACCCTCTCTGACCGGCTCAGCGGCTCAGGTCTGCAGGAAGGAAGAGCGATGGCTGCTGCAAATGTGCCTCAGTACATATAGTATACAGTCGGTTCTCTTCATTCAAATCGATCTATGACTTGGTAAATTAAACAAAAGCTGCAATAAACTATGAACAGATATTTTAATTCAATAATTATATCCGCTTGTATGCGTCACATTTACCGTTTAACATCCTAGGCTTCACTCTTCGTTCGATGTATGCCTCGGTGGTGTTGGATAGAGGTTCCTTGGACTCTCCAGAGCCCTCAGGAAGATGGAACAGGTCGATGTCAGCAGCAGAGGTGATGGGGGTCACAGAGGTGGTGGTGATCTCTGTTGAGCTGGGGACAACTGTTGAGCTGGGGTCCTCAGTGGAGTCTGCTGCCTCGCCATACCCCCAGCCCAGAAGATCAGTCAGGGTGAGGTTCTCCGCTGCTCCAATGGCTTCACTTGGCTCTGTTGGGTCTTCCGGCTGCTGGAATGTAGCAGTTTTGCATTAAATTACACCGATTTAAAGAAATATCACATATTATTTTGTCCAAAAAATATATATAGACTATTTACTGTCATTTCATGTTTCAGAACGTGAAATAATATCTTCAGTAGAAAATAAATGGTGAAATAAGTGTCAGTGATGAAAAATCTTATTGGCCTGTCTTATCCCTTTGCCACCACCAGAGGGAGCTGAATAATGTTCTCCGTTTTGTGAAAAAGGAGAAAGAAGAAGAAACACGTAATAACTCCTGCTCCATGTACATAATTTACTTTTATAAATATCTATATTAGCGATAATGGATCTAAAAAACAACTCCAGGGCATTTTTGAAGTGGTAGCAATGTCATAAGAAGGTTGAAAGTTCAAAAAGGTGAATTATACATGAGTGTATAATAGCATCAGAGCAGCATACTGTGGTGTATTTTGTGTTACAATCATTTCATACCTCATTCAACAAAATAGTTATTTCTGTGATCTCCATGACGACGATGCCTGGAGTAGCAGTAGCGGGACTGAAGGTGGGTTGGATGGTACTTTGGCCCACAGGACTCTCCCCCATCGCTCTTCCCTCAGAACTCTCCCCTCCACTGCCCTCCTCTGCCTCCTCTGTGGTGCTTTGTGGCTGGTCGGTGGTCTGGTTGTTGGGGGCTGGCGTGGTCTGAAAGATGAGAAGCGGATGGTCCACAATGAAGCCATCGGTCACGGCCTCTCGGAACACGTCCTCCTCCGTCCGTGGGACCTGGGTCACGGCTGCAGAAGGAGAAGAGAGAGTCGAGAAATGAGCTTAGGATATTAGATGGGAAAGTAGGAAATGGATTGCATTCTTTAATATTTAAAGTTGGGGTACCTAACTTTAAAACACTATACTATACTACATACTATCACTGGTTTTTGCATGTATTTGTTGTCCTTTGTCATACTACTAAAATGTCATAATACTCTGTGTCTTCCTTTTGTTCCGGTTTGTTCATGTTTCACAAATTTAAGGACAATATCTGTATGTATGTAATATGATGACATGGACAAACAAAAAAAATAATAAATGTCTTTCCACCGTCTTTTCGTGATAAGCTGTTCTAAACCACCTCATGTGCTCAGAATTTTTGTCTCCTCTCACTTCTTTGAGACCTCACCCACACAACATTCATGTGCTGGTAAAGGAAAGTTATCAGGTTGTTCACAAATCCAGCTCAAGTCTAAACTTGTATAAAGGTTTAGCAATCATTACCTCTCTAACAAAGCCACAACTTTACTCTGAGGCCACTTTTGTGTCATTGCTCATTTAGGAAGAACCACTTTCTGACTTCTGACTAATATGCAAATGTGTAATATAGTTACAGGCCCAGGCACATCTACAGAACGTTTGCATAAAAACAGTACCTTACATAATGGTACTAGCAAGTTATGTAAAGTCAATGTTCTGGAATATTGTATGCCATTGCTAGCTACCAAAAACAGACAGAAAAACACAATCTACACTGCAAAAAGTCATAAAAAAGCAATAAAATATTGCTCAGATTTGGTGCCTTCAAACAAGATTTGACAATGGGACAAGCAAGATAAGAAGATACAAGAAATGTCTCCCTAGGAATGAGAGAACACGACTAAATGGTTTTGTCCCATTGGAAAATCTTTTTTAACACAGTCAGAATGTGCTCAAATTAATGAAACCCACTTTCAAGTGATTTATTATCTATTTATGACACACTTTACAAATCAATAGCTCATTTGCAAAAACAGAAAAGTGGAAAGCTTTACAATTTTCTCTTAACCAAGCTATTTTGTAAAAAGCCAGATATATTTTAGTGTCATACAAATAAATGTTCACAGATTCTTGAGCCAATTCTTTCAAAAATACGACCAAAGCATATTGACAATTGTAACTTGAGAAATATTGACTAATTTTCGAAACGGTGAAAACTGTTAGTTTCAAATTAGCTCCTCAATTTGCTATTTTTCCTTCACTCCTCACACATAGAAGACAGAAGTGGGACTGGAACACATTACCAGTAAGTCTCTAAAAACACTTCAAAGGTAATCTCTGAGATGATTCACTCAGTGTCACGTGGTCGTTCCAAACAACATAATACTCTTCCTCGGCAAAAACGTTCATGTAATCACGCCACATTCAAGATCAGGGCAGTTAGGCCGGTGCTAAAGCAACACTCCTTTCTTGTCCATCGGTGTGAATAAGATACAACTTGTATTACAATATGTCGCTCCAGGTTCATGAAACTGAAAAGACAGTTTTATAGCTCTCAAGCCCTCGAAGGTGCCCACAGATAAACAGGAAGATCAAGGAAATATTAGGAGGTATTTTATTTAAATACATAAATAAAATAAATAAAATAATATATGAAATCCATCCATTCATTTTCTTCCGCTTCATCCGTTGCCAGGTTGTGGGGGCAGCAGTCTAAGCAGAAACGCCCAGACTTCCCTATCCACACACACTTCCTCCAACTCGTCCAGGGGGACCCCAATGCATTCCCAGGCCAGCTGAGAGACTATGTACCTCCAGTGTGTCCTGAGTCTCCCCCGGGGTCTCCTCTCGGTGGGATATCCCCGTAACACCTCCAGCCTCCCTGGGTGAGACTGGTTCCTCTCAACGTGGAGAAGCAGCGGCTTTACTCCGAGATCCTCCCGTGAGACTGAGCTCCCCTTTCTCTAAAGGAGTGCCCAGTCACTCTGCGGAGGAATCTCATTTCAACGGCCTGTATCCACGATCTCGTCCTTTTGGTCATTATTCAAAGCTCATGACCATAGGTGAGGGAGGGACAGAGATCGACCGGTGAATCGAGAGCTTCCTCTTTAACTCAACGGTCCGATACAGCGACCGCATCACTGCGCACGCTGCAGTGTGCACTGTCTGTCAATCTCACGCTCCATCCTTCCCTCACTCGTGAACAAGACCCCAAGATACTTGAACTCCTCCACTTGAGGAAGGACCGCTCCACCCACCTGGAGAGGGCAAGGCACATTTTTCCAGTCGAGCACCATCGCCTCGGATTTGGAGGTGCTGATTCTCATCCTTGTTGGAAATTATATTCAAATTCGAGAAGCAAAAGGCATTTAATCTAACGTTACACTTTGAGATACTGCTCAGTCAAAAGGACCACATTCATTAACTGGGTATTTGAGGAGAAAATATTTGAATGTGTTTTCTTTCCTTTTTAACAGTACAGGTTTACAATACTCAAAAACTAAAACATTACAGCATTTCACTACATTCAAGGCTTTCAGAATGATGAGCAAATAGAAATGTTAAAACAAATAAAACAGATGAGTATACGATTATGGAAGCATTCACCTTTAGAGCATTTTCTTTTCATAATCAAAGTGATACGAGAAACATTTCAATACTTTGGCTTATTATACTGAACCATTTGTAATTTCCTGGCTCTAATTATTATGGTTCAAATATCTTGGAACACAAGACCATAAAAACATCCCAGACTACTTTTAATTCTCAATGCTGTACAAGTCGAAAGATCCAGGCTATGCTCACAGTCAGAGAGCAGCCGTCCTGTGGACTCACCACCTGCAGAGGGTCAGTGAGGGGCTGGTGCTATGAGACTTGGGTGGCATCTCTGACTGCCACCCCCTGACCCAGAAATGGATTAAAGGGTAGAAGATGGATGGATGGATGAATGCTGTACAAGTCATCAAGATAATTTTTAAAAATCTTAAAAAGTTAAGTTTGCTCATTTTTTTGTTATAGTCTATAACAATATTGGAAAGGGAGACAAAAACAGGAAAAAAATGCTATAATGTATTATTATCCATAATAGTTGTAATTAGACTTACTTGTAAGTGGTGTGGCATTCCCCAAAGTGAACAGAACCAGTAAAAGCGCAGCGCTGAGTGCTTCCATGATGTTCACAGTCTGAATAGTGACTCAGGTTTGAAAATAAGCTCAGTCATGACTAAGCTTATATGTCCTGCACGAGCCTTGGTGCAGGGTGGGCGGGGCTCACCTGAACACACAAGAGTTCCCACGCTCTAGTTTCTATAGTGTTGCGAAAGACCTGGAAGATGCGCCAACGTTTCCCCATGATTTATAGTTTTGTGATTGCTATGTAATCACAAATACCTTAAAGCCTTCTGAGCAATGCCAAGTCGAATTTTTATTAAAGCTGAGGTACCTAATGCTAATATAATATACATATAGATCGATAAATATGCATCAATCTATATCTAACTGGCCTGTGCTTCTCAAACGAATTGCCCTTAGTGGGATGAATAAAGAAGTCTGAATCTGAATCTAATTCAACTTTTTACTTCTGCCACTCAATTCACAAGAATGGATTTGTATACATCTACATACACACTTCAAATAGACATGTACAATATTAACATTGCCCATATTATGGGGTAAGGTTACTGTCAATAAAGACGTGCATGTCTAAAAAAAATGCGTGCATATTAATTGGTATTTGTGCATACAAATATTTTATGAATTCATGATTAAAATAATACAAACTAAAAAGACATGGAATTTCGTAATTAAAAATAAAAAAATTATCAAACTATGTGTGATTTTGTACTTGTGAATACGAGTTTTTTTGGTGTTTGCATTTTCTTCTTTGAGATTACGAATTTCAGCAGTCAGCAAACTGTCAATAATACATCACTGCTGACTGACATTAACAATTAACAACAGTTGATCATGGCAGAGGGCAACAACATTAACAACGTGGCTCAAAATCAGGTAAATAACTATATTTGATCATTTTGGTCGTAAATAAATGTGTAAGAAATATTAATTCCATAAAATGTGTTCATAAGAAGATATTTCTTGTCCCTCTCTAGAAACGTTTTTTGAGGCTGTGTTTAGTTAAGGCTAGCTTCAATGCTAGTTTTACAGCTCACCATGTTATTTTAAAACCAACATGTTTACATTCTTAGCATTTACATTTGATGAAGCCTTTGCCCCTAATCAATGTGGTTAATGAGTTGATACCAGCCCCAACCCTCCAAATTTTTCATATTTTGAGCTGTTACTACCCCTGAGCAATATGAAGTTCACCTCCGTGCTATACTTATCCTTGGTTGATAGAAGTAGCAGACCCTGGTGCGCCCTGTGGGCCTCAATCTTATATTTGTGAGTAAATTTGACACATTGCTTTTACTCACTATTTCAGTAACGCTGGTTAATCTGTTGTTTAGACTAAAATAAATGCATTATTTTCTGAAGATTAAAACAATACCAGAATACAAAAATAAAACTAGCATTGGAGCTAACAAAACTGCCAAAAAAATGTTTCTAGAGAGGGACAAAAATATGTATGAGTTAAAATTTAGATGGAACCTAAATCTACTTTGATGAAGAGTTGGAAACCTGAATCACAGCTGGAAAACAAATAATTAGGTCCAAGTGGTTGTGTTTACCAGCAATCTGAGTTCAAATCTCGGTGGAACCTCACTCTAATTTGCCTACTGAAAGCTGGACCCCTGAATTGTAACTTTAAATAAAAGTCTCACTTGTCTACCTTTAAGAGACCTGGACCCCTGAATTGTAACAAAAAGACATTTCCAAGTTCAAATCTCGGTGGAACCTCAGTCTCAATTGTGTACTGAAAGCTGGACCCCTAAATTTTACCTAGAAAATGTTTCCGAGTTCGAATTCTCGGTGGAACCTCACTGTCATTTGCCCACTTTTACCAGAAAGCTGGATCCCTGATCTGTATCTTGAATAAATGTCTGAGTTCAAATCTCGGAGGAACTCAATTGTCAACCTTAAAGAAACCTGGACCCCTGAATTGTAACAAAAAGACATTTCCAAGTTCAAATCTCGGTGGAACCTCAGTCTCAATTGTCTACTGAAAGCTGGACCCCTAAATTGTACCTAGAAAATGTTTCCGAGTTCGAATTCTCGGTGGAACCTCAGTCTCACTTCTATCCTGAAAGCTGAAACCCTGAATTGTAACTAGAAAATATTTTTGAGTTCAAATTTCGGTGGAACATAAATCTCCCTTTGATGAAAGTTGAAAATATTAGGTCCAATCATTTGTGTTTCCTTTTTTTAAGCAGACAGTCATAAAATGTGGTTCCATGGTGTCATTTTTTAGCATTCTGGACTTTGAAACCAATGATTCGATTTCAAATCTCGGTGAAACCCTCATTGTTATTTGCCTACTTTTGTCTACTTTCACCAACTGGAAAACGATATTAGGTCCAAACGTCCAGCATTTGTTTTTCCATTTTTTTAAGCAAGCAAAGAAGTTATGTGGTTCCATGGTGTAATGGTTAGCACTCTGAATCTAGCGATCCAAGTTCAAATCTCGGTGGAACATCACTCTTGTTAGCCTACCGAAAGGTGACCCCATTAATTGTAACTTTGATTAAAAGTCAGAGTTCAAGTCAGGCCTATGTGAATATGTAATAGGTGGTTTTTATGTTTTTATTTTTTTTTTTTTCTTCAGTGCACAGGAGCATAAGTGAATCATGTTCTGTTCTTGTGCTATGTTGTGGGATGCTTGTTGTGTATACAAATGTGTAATGTTATGGGCTCGAAAGAAATAAACAAAATGAAAAATGAAATGAAATGAATTCTCGGTGGAATCTCAAGTCTTGCTTCCCTGCTGAAAAATGGACCCCTGAATTTTAACTAGAAAACATTTCCGAGTTCAAATCTCAATCGTCTACCCAGAGCTGGACCCCTAAATTGTAACTAGAAATGATTTCTGAGTTTGAATCTTGGTGGAACTTCAGTCTCACTTCTCTGCTGAAAGCTGGAACCCTGAATTGTAACTCGAAAACCTTTCAAATCTCAGTGGAACCTCACTCTAATTTACCTACTGAAAGCTGGACCCCTGAATTGTAACTTTAAATAAAAGTCAGAGTTCAATCTTGGTGGAACCTCACTGTCATTTGCCCACTTTTACCAGAAAGCTGGATCCCTGAATTGTATCTTGAATAAATGTCTGAGTTCAAATCTCGGAGGAACTCAATTGTCAACCTATAAGAAAGCTGGACCCCGCAATTGTAACGAAAATTTTTTTCCGAGTTCGAATCTCGGTGGAACTTCAGTCTCTTCTCTGCTCAAAGCTGGAACCTTGAATTGTAACTAGAGAACATTTCCCAGTTCAAATCTCGGTGAAACCTCAGTCTTAATTGTCAGCCTTAAAAAAACCTGGACCCCTAAATTGTAACTAAAATTTATTTCCGAGTTTGAATCTTGGTGGAACTTCAGTATCACTTATCTGCTGAAAGCTGGAACCCTGAATTGTAACTAGAAAATATTTCTGAGTTCTGAGTCTCACTTGTCTACCTTTAAGAGACCTGGACCCCTGAATTGGAACAAAACAATATTTCTGAGTTCGAATCTCGTTGGAACCTCAGTCTCACTTCCCTGCTGAAAGCTGGAACCCTGAATTGTAACTAGAAAATATTTCTGAGTTCTGAGTCTCACTTGTCTACCTTTAAGAGACCTGGACCCCTGAATTGGAACAAAACAAATTTCTGAGTTCGAATCTCGTTGGAACCTCAGTCTCACTTCCCTGCTGAAAGCTGGAACCCTGAATTGTAACTAGAAAATATTTCTGAGTTCTGAGTCTCACTTGTCTACCTTTAAGAGACCTGGACCCCTGAATTGGAACAAAACAATATTTCTGAGTTCGAATCTCGTTGGAACCTCAGTCTCACTTCCCTGCTGAAAGCTGGAACCCTGAATTGTAACTAGAAAATATTTCTGAGTTCTGAGTCTCACTTGTCTACCTTTAAGAGACCTGGACCCCTGAATTGGAACAAAACAATATTTCTGAGTTCGAATCTCGTTGGAACCTCAGTCTCACTTCCCTGCTGAAAGCTGGAACCCTGAATTGTAACCAGAAAAATATTTCTGAGTTCAAATCTCGGTGGAACCTAAATCTACCATTGATGACAGCTCTCACTTTGTAAGACAGTTGGACCCCTCAATCACAACTGGAAAAATGAAAAAGTGATCTGAGTTCAAATCTCGGTCAAACCTCCCTGTCATTTGCTCACCTTTACCAGAAAGTTGGATCCTTGAACTGTATCTTGAATAAATGTCGGAGTTCAAATCTGGACTCGGAAGCAATTTGATCTCGGTGGAACCTTTGATAACAATTGTTTATTCATTAAACTGTAGCACAGCTGTGGCATCCCGCTGTAGAACCAAAGCGACTATCCAAAGTGCAATCCTGGATCACCTGGATTCTTCTAACTTTAAAATTAGTACACCACAGATGAGGCCATTCAATTTTTTTTTAAATGTGGTTCCATGATATAATCGTTAGCAAACTCTTTGAGACTTGATATTTCGACTTCCAAGTCTGACTTTTAAACCAACGTTTTTCCACTATACTGCTTTCAAAGTTTTGCACATCGCACAACTATCATCTCTGTCCCTACTGAAGAAAAGCAGCCTTACAGCCTTATTTTGCCTTATGCAATGATATTATATACAGAGGTCGTCATTTCACCAGTATGCAGAATCAGTAATATTGTGTGGCTTAATACTGCTTTGATCTTCTTCCCAACTTTATCCCTGACCTCTCCGATGGGGTGTTCCTTGGTAGATTTTTATAGTGACCGATGGACAGCAATTATAGTGTAGATTTGACACAGATGGGCTCTATTCTAATGCAAGGGCTAGATGTTTGCATTCTTTAGTCATCAGGACACACACTCAAAGGGCATTTACTGAAGTTAAAGAGGCTATACCCATTTTTTTTTCTTCTAAAGAATTCATAAAAATGCTTATTACTACATACAAGTTGTAATATAATCCGTAATTTAATGGAAAACTTGAGCTCATTGATTCAGCTTGTGTAAGAATTCAGGCCGTATGAAAGTGCTGGTAAACAAGGTAGCATGTTAGCAGAAAGTGGCTATAAATCCTCTTGCTAT